GAGATGGACACAATATATAGCACAACTTTTTGAAGACAAAGAGAGAACAGAAGCACCAAAAGAATTTAAGGATGATACTGGGCCCGACATTATACGAGAAGAAATTGAATATGCAATGAAACAGGCTAAAGGTGGTAAATCTCCCGGGCCTGATGAAGTTCCTATCGAATTACTTAAAATTGTCAATACTGAATCTATTGATCTTCTTTTGGATCTATTCAATACCATATGTAGAACAGGTATAATACCTAAAGAATGGCTCCAATCAACATTCATACTGCTTTCCAAAAAAGCCAATGCAAAGGAGTGCAATGAACATCGCACCATAGCCTTAATGAGTCATGTCCTGAAATTGTTTTTAAAAGTAATTCACAATAGAATACATAAGAAATTAGATGAAGGCATAAGTAATACACAAATGGGATTTAGGAAAGGACTAGGAACACGAGATGCACTGTTTGCATTAAGTGTTCTTTCGCAGAGATGCTTAGATATTAATCAGGAAGTATATGCCTGTTTCATTGATTTTGAGAAGGTATTTGATACAGTGCAGCATAATCGACTTGAAGAAATTTTATTAAATAAAAACATAGACTGTAGAGACATTAGAATCATCTGTAACCTCTATTGGAATGAAACAGCGAAAGTGAAAGTTAAAAACGAACTGACCAAGGATATTTAGATTCGCCGTGGGGTCCGCCAAGGGTGTATTTTTTCACCCTTGTTATTCAATTTATACAGTGAAGCCATCTCAGAATTAGCGCTTACCGAGATCAGTGAGGGCCTTATAATAAACAGTGAGACCAATTAATAACATAAGATATGCTGACGACACCGTCCTTCTGGCAGGAACACTAGAAGAACTGCAACACCTTGCTAAACAACTAAATATATATTGCAACGATTATGGACTAAAAATCAATTTGAAGAAAACCAAGTTCATGGTATTTACAAAAGCACAAAACATCAAAGTTAAGCTAGTACTAGATAATACAGAAATTGAACAAATATCTTCGTACAAATACCTTGGAGCATGGATCACAGAAGATACTGATCAGACAAAAGAAATAAGAGGCCGCATTGAAATTGCGCGGTCAACTTTTAATAGAATGAGAAAACTTATTTGTAATCGCGATATCAATATATCGCTCCGGATAAGAATGCTTTTCTCTACCCTTTTGTATGGAGTTGAAGCTTGGACACTTAAAAAATCCAACATTAAAAACCTAGAAGCATTCGAAATGTGGTGTTACCGACGTATGTTGAAAATATCATGGATGGATCGCAAAACAAACGAACAAGTTCTCGAACAACTAGGAAAACAATGCGAAGTTTTAAATTCCATAAAAATCAGGAAATTGGAATACTTGGGGCACATAATGAGAGGTGAAAAGTACGAACTACTAAGGAATATAACGCAGGGTAAAATCAAAGGTAGAAGAAGCGTAGGAAGACGTAAAATCTCGTGGCTACGCAATCTCCGTGAATGGTTTGGATGCAGTTCAATTGAACTATTCAGGTGAGTAACCAATAAAATTATAATTGCCAGAATGATTTCCAATCTCCGATAGGAGTGGAACTTGAAGAAGAAGAAGAAGGTTCGCTGTATGAAACCAGTAAAAGGCTCGAATGCGACGATATAGTGTACGCATATTAACAGGTCTACCTACCACTCCAAACCATTGGTCGGCAATTTGACGCGTGCGTAGTAGCAAAACGGTCTCGCAGAGCCAGTAATCAAAGTCGCCTATCTTGACGCTCTGTAATACGCCTCGGTTGACCAGTTGGTCTTCTTCGTCTTCCTCTACCTTCTTTTATCCATACACACATAACCGTTATTGCCGTAGAATTAGCACGACGGCCAATTTCGCGATACGATAAGCCCATATCTCTATATGCAATAATTCTACCCCTGTCAAAATCACTAACATGCTGATAATTTTCGAACTCAAGGCATTTTCTTACACTGAATACAGTTAGACTGAGGAATAATAACTACAAAATTCTATACGAACCGGTTTCCACAAATCGGTCTCTTCACAAAAAAAAATTTAAAGATAAAATTTTATTTTTACAAAAAGTAGAAAAGATAAAACATTGATATTGTTATCATAGCATGCTTTAAATAAAGTCATTCTGTTGCCAAAAAATAAGTTCAAGAAATCATTCCTTCTGGGTGTAACACTCACAGTGTTTCCGTACCGTAGGTCATTACTGGCGGAACACACTGATCGAAGACATTCCGCTTGAGATGAATCGGTACGTTGCCGTGCCTATTCTAATTTCGTATCCAAGCTATATGTATTTATCAACACGTTCTGCTTCGTCTTTCTGAATTTTTAAATTGTTACTGGGCACGAGGTTCGTTATGTACTTTGTTTTGGAGATATTTATTTTTAAACTGATTTCTCTGGAGGCTCTTTCCAGTTCTTCTAAAACGATGTTGATTTCGACTAGGTATTTTCCCTAGTGTATCTTTCCCCGTCTACTCTTATCCCTTTATAATCTCAATCCTGGGTTCCAGGGTTTTAAAAGCACGTTCTTGGACAGTTATAAAAAGCCACAAGGAATCTACGTTCCTGTAGTTGGCTGTATACCATATATTAAAAAATTTATTAAAAATCCTTTATAAAAGGTATATATTAAGAATCCAAACGGGCTAAGTTAAAAAGACAAAATGTTTTCGGAATCCATATTCCATCATCAGTGTCTAAGAGTACATGAATGTAGCCACTAAATACATGGGTAAAAACCCGTTAACAAATAATTAATTACATTTAGTTTACAAATTTTCCTATAATGGTCTAAGATGTTAAAGTTACCGTTGGATTAGGTAACATGGCAACATATGACTCCACGTTGAAGTTGCTAGTCTTGAGACAGTGTGTCTACGAAGACTGTAGCAGTTGCTCCCATACAGTCTTTGGTGATTTCGTTACTGTTTTCGTGTTACTTTATTACATTTGTCGCATTTCTATAAACATTGCATACTAATCTGAAATAACGACTAGTTCTACCGAGTCCAACACTTTGTGGAAATCTATAAACACGAATACCAGAGGTCTGTTATGTCCCGTATAACATCCCAATCTTATGTAGGCCAAACAAACCGTAGAATTCAAAATAGGACTTATGAACATTCCATTTCTATTCACAATTCGGATTCAATTTCAGCTCTAGGTCAATACTATCTTCATACAGGTCACAATATTGATTTTTAAAACTTCAGAACCATAGCCCTCACCCGCTTCAAGCTACCAAGAATTCTACGAGAAGCCATAGAGATTGAAGAAAGGCCAAATTGGCTCAATAAAAGAGATGACAGTATCCAGTTACCTTCGACATGGAGACCTCTTATAAAGAAAATATTATCCGCTTCACCTTCCAGCTCCCAACAATCAGTAAAGCATTGATTAATGATTTGTAGTATCTGGGTGCTCGGGAGACTGAGACCTCAGAAGCCCTGAAGAATACATCTCAGAGGATTTAGAAAGCTCGGCGTAATGATAATCGACGAGGTTCAACCCGGAAGCCTGTTGAGTTTAATATTAATTCTTAGCTAGACGATCATTTTGATGTTGGGCTTAAAATTCTAGTTTGTTATCCAACAAACCAATTCCGCAATAAAATATTGGTTGTTTTGACTTTGCAGTGCTTTAAAACTCATTGTGAGCAATTACTGTGTAACAAAGAAATTGTTTTAAATAAATCAAAGGTTCGAATAAGACTTAAAATACGTTTAACATAAAATATATTTCTGAATTTCTGTTTTTACTATGATCTGTTTTTTTAACCAGGAGGAGTAATTCAAATTTTCCGCGCCGTAATGCTTGTTTGCAATTGGTCCAACCGCAGGCAAGTTTACTCCACTAAATTATGACATATTGACACTAATGACGTTTGTGAAATTTATTTATTATTATTATTTTCCTCTAATATATAAATCGATTTCTGACTGTTTAAGTTGTTTGTAATAACTTGGACTTGGTGATATGCGAATAGTATTTATTGTGATATTTGTCTAGATGATATTTATACTAAATATAGTTTAAAGTATTTATAAATTTATAAATGTATGTTATTTATATCTAATTATCATAAGAAAAACGGCAACTATCTTTTAAATTTAGTGTATACTTGTTAAGAAGCATTTCCATTTTGTTTTCATCACAATAAAAGAACATTAGTAAAGTAATGTTGTGTTTTAGTTTGATTGTATGATACAGTTGGTTTTGTTCTTCCTGGTTGTAGATTATCACAAGCAAACAAGAAAACTGCAAAATTATGCGAGAATGTAACATAATAGATTTCATTTGTTGATTATCTCACAGAAATCCAGTATTTTTTAGTAAATTTTATTTGTTGATAACATATGGGACAAACTCGCTGTCAAAATTAAACCAGAATCCAGCATTAAAAAAATTGTAAGTACACACTAATTTATACAAAGTATCTGGTAAGGAAAAAAACTAGATTCAAGAAATTGATCATACCAGAATAAGAATATGGTCTACTATTAAAAGACAAATTTCTGAGAAAAACCATACTTAGATATGTAACATTATTGACTCTCCCGATCAAAATATTCTCTAAATTATAATGAAATACCATAGACTTAAGAGATCTATAAAACTGGATCACCCGATATTTAAATAAATATATATACAGGGGACCAAATGTGAAAAACGTCTTTTTTATTGTAATAATTGTAATATATATTGGAAGTGAATTGAAAAAAATTATTTTATTATTCAAACATAAATAAACGATGTTAGGTTAAAATTGACATGTGAGATTGTCCAATATTGATTACTCGATTACCGCAAGGCCGAGATAATCAACAAAAAAAGAAGATGTATTTGGTGAATTTTCTAGTAACTTTCTTGAGTGTGAATCTGTCTTTTTGGTTTACTCCTCCTGGTTAAAAAACAGAGTATAATATTATAAAACAGATTATATTTGTATGTACAGTAACAGTCCTTGTGTATAAAATATAATATAAACAAACCATTCTTATATTAATTATGGAATTACAAAAATGGAACTAAGGGATTAAAGAGAGCAGATTTTGCAAACAAAGCAGACTTTAACTCCCTACAAAAAATTATTGTTTTTCATCTTTACACGTACAATCCACCCAATCCTTAGGATTCTTCAATACTTTCAATAGTTCTCCTTCTGGGGTATTTTCTTTGGGAGCATGCATGTATTCCCATCTCTAAAAACGATTTAAATTAATTTAATAGAAATATCATTTGGTTTGCATCTTTTTTATGTTTCAACTCAAATTACTCAATTAAAAAGATAATTTGCAGGTAACAATTACTGTGCTCATTAAAATAGCAATAAACATAAAATAAAAAATACTTATATGTTTAGAATAAGGCTTGTTATGCAACAAATTTAATTTTAGTGAAACTTCGAGATTTCTATATATATATATATATATTATATATATATATATATATATATATATATATGCCCGTTTTAGAACGTCCTTCTCCGTTGTCCGACACCTAACTTCCATCCTCTTCTATCGTGGCAATCTTCCGTTGATAGATTCCGTTCGCTCATTGACTTTTTTATGTTTTGCTGCCACTCTAGTTTGGGTCTTCCTCGCTTTGTGTTCACTATTGGGGTCCAGTTCAGTTTTTTTTTGGGCCATCTAGTATTTTGCATTCGCTCTACGTGTCCGTACCAGGTAAGTTGTTTCTTTTCGATATCCTGAATTATCGTACCTTCTATTCCCATTCGTTGTTTTATACGGTCATTCCTCATTCTTTCTCTTCGTGAGACTCGCATAGATCTTCTTATCGCGTCCATTTCGACTGCCTCTACCTTCTTTTTTTGTCTGTCTGGAATTCTCCATGTTTCCGCCTCATACAATAGACTGCTCTTAACCATTGTCTCGTATATATTAAATTTTCTCCTTTTTGTTATCTCCTTGCTCCACAAGATGCCATTCAGACATCCTATTATCTTTTTAGCTGTAACTATTCGTTTTTCTATCTCTTTCACATCTGTTCCGGTATTGTCGAATGTGATACCTAAATAATCATATTCTTGACATTGCAGAATTTCTTGACCGTTGTCCAACTCCAAATTTTCGCTCTGAGAGCCTACACATAGATATTTCGTTTTATTTACGTTAACTGTCAAGCCCCATTCCTCATACTCTTCTATCAGCTTTCTAATCATATATTGCATGTCGTCTTTGTCATTGGCCACTATGACCTGATCATCTGCAAACTGAAGAGTAAACAGGTATCTGTCATCTATCTCTATAAACATTCCGTGTATTTTCCTTTTCCAGTTCTTAAGTGCCGCTGCTACATATATTTTGAATAGTGTAGGAGAGATAGGACATCCCTGACGTAGCCCCTTATTCTCTATGAAGGCATCTGTGAGTTTTTTACCTATCTTAATTCTTGAATGTGAATTTTCATACAGTTCTTTAGGTGCAGCTATATAGTTGTGATTGATGTTCGTTTGTTTTAATACCTTCCACAGTCTCGATACTGGGACTGTATCATATGCTTTTTGTAGGTCCACAAATGTAAGATGGGTTTCCAGATGTCTAACAGATCTCTTCTCTATGACTTGTTTTAGACAAAATACGTTATCGGTACACGATCTACCTGCTCTAAAGCCGCTTTGATCTTCTTCTTCTTTCTCTTTATAGTCTTCTTCAATTAGATCTCGCAGTATTCTACTGTATAGTCTGCTCAGTGTACTCGTGATTGATATGCCTCGATAGTTGTTACAGTCCAGTTTATTTCCTTTTTTATGGATGGATGATATATAAGCTGTTTTCCAGTCTTCTGGAACAGGATGTCCATTTAGGCATTTCTTGATAATTATTGTTAGATTTCTAAAGAGTTTTTGCGTTCCCCATATTAACATTTCGGAGAAAATCCCTTCTGGTCTGCTAGCTTTCCCTAACTTAAGGTTCAACACTGTCTTTTTTACTGTTTCTTCGGAAACCTCTACTTATTCTCCATTTACTACAAAATGTTTTGGAGATTCTATCATGTATTTCTGTTTGGTTTCTTGTAGTAGATTTTTGTAGTGTTGTATCCGCTGCTCCGGTTTGATTACCTGGATATTTGCTCTATCCTTTGCTGGGTTTTTGACATTTGATATAAATTTCCATACCTCCAAGCATTTCCTTCCTCCGATATAATTGTTAACTTCTTCACATTTCTTATCCCACGTCTCGTTCTTAGCTAAATTAATGCCCGCTCTTAATTGTCTTTTTGTTTGTTTATAATCTTCCAGATCTTGTTCATTTTTTGTTGCCAACCATTTTAAATATTTTTGTTTCTTTTCCTGAACTAGTAACTCTATCTCTTCGTTCCACCAGTATTTTTTGTTGATCTCCTTTGCCTTTATTCCTACTACTTCTCTGGTGGCATTTCTTAGACTTTCGATAACGTTCTCATAGATTTCATAAAAGGTGCATTCTTCCGCATTTGATAGTTTGCTGTCAAGGCGCCTCTAATAAAGAAATACCGTGCTTTCATCGTTAAAACTTTGAAAATTATACTTTGTTGTACACATTTCGTCGGTGAGTACGGAATCATTGTTATGTTCATCTTTGGCCTGACTTGTTCTTCTAAATTTTATTCTTACTTTGGCTCTTACTAAAAAATGATCTGATCCGCAAGTGAGTCCTCTCAACACTCTTACGTCGTTCACCTCTATATTTGTTTCTTGTTTACTTATCACATAATCAATGATGGATTTTAGGTTGTGTGTATTCTGTGTCCATGTGTAGCGGTGAATATCTTTGTGTTTAAAGAATCCATTGTTTATTCTGAGAGTGTGGGTTTCGCACATATGTATCAGCCTTTGGCCATTATCGTTGGTTACTTCTTACCCAAATGGGCCTACAACTGGGCTATTGTTCATATTTCCCGTTCTTGCATTGAAGTCCCCCATCATTATAATTTCTCTATTTTTTCCAATATTTCCTAGGATTTCGTCAAGTTTGTCAAAGAACTCCTGTTTAATGTCTATTCTTTCGTCGTCTGATGGAGCATATGCCGTGATAATGGCGATGTTATGGCCGTGTAGTTTTAAGTTTACCGTTAAGATATTTTCATCTACAGCTTCCCAATTTGTAATTTTGCTTTTCCAGTTTTTCTTTATTAATATGGATACCCCTCTAGCTGCTCTTCTTTCCTTTGGAACTCCAGTAAAAATTTGAATATATTCTCCGATAACTCCAGTACCATGTCCTTTTTTCTTGGTCTATGTTAGCGCTACTACATCGATGTTTAGTTTCTGGATTTCTGATGCAATGATATCCGTTTTCAGTCTAATACCCTGTACATTCCACGTAGCGAAACTCATATTCCATTTTCTTGGCCGTGTCCGTCGTCTATTTGATCCGTCAAATGTTCCGAGGCTTCTGTTAGGTTGTTTGGTAAGTTTAGATTTTTCCGAGTATTAGAGAACCAATCTAATGCCTCAACCCCCATCCTGGAGGGCCAGGACAGTTTTTGTTTCACGGTGAGTATTTTATTTCCTCACTACCCTCTGAATCTACTGGCTTGTAGAACCAGCGAGCTTCCCCTAATTCCCATAGGGACGCACCCGATGGAGGTAACTGTCAAATCCCCTCACGAGATTTCTAATAAATTAATAATAAAGATAAGAATAATAACAAAAAAAGTAATGCCATATATGGCTTAAATGTTAGCATTATTAAGATGATAAAAAATATTATCATAAGCCCTCTTACACACTTAATAAATCAATGCTTAAAGAGAACACATTTCTCTCAGTTCTACTATTATAACACCCATATTTACATCCTTGAGAATTATAGGCCTTTCGCATTGGTCCCTTCTTCTTGTAGTTCCTTCTCCTATCGGAGGTTGACTATCATCAAAGCTATCCGTACCTTATAGACGGCTGCTCTACTGAGCCGCAACAACTGTACCACTCTCTGAGGTTTCCTAGCCAGGAAATTATTCATCTTCCTATGGATCTTTTACCCTTGATTGCATTATGAGCCTTAATATCTCTGATATCTCTTATATTTTGCACCTCTGGTAATGTGGCCTAAATATTCCAGCTTTGTTATTTTGATGTGCTTTATGACCTCGCAATCCTTTTGTAGCCTTCTTAACAGTTCTACATTTGTAACTCGTTGGGTCCATGGTATTTTCAAAATCCTTCAGAATCGGAGTCGAGAACACATAGCATCTTAAGGTTCATATCCTCAGCTCCAGAGGAAGGTCTCGATTAACAAACATTGTTTTCATTTTTATAAACGCTTTTCTTGCAATTTCAATGCGTGTCCTTATTTTTCTACCTTGGTCATTGTTTTCATTTATCCAAGAATATTTAGGATTTAGGAAACCCAGAAACCAGACAAACACATTTCACGATGCACATAGAGAAAAAAGGCACCTAAAACCTCGTTGTACTTGCAAAAAAAAGTTAAGCAAAAAATGTTCTGAGATTTCTCAATAATACACAGAGAAAATTTTTACAAAAAGAAAGCCTATTGAGACAGAATCTATAACGATCTATTCCATTACACTATAACTTAGTCGTAAATAATGTGTCCGTGCCTATATGCAACACAATGTACTTAAAGACATTATTTTGGGGAATGGTCTATGGGATCTTGGGCTATGAAGGTAGAATATATGAGTTCCAGTACAGATTTAGAAGTTGCCTCGAGACCAAAACGCCAGAATATTTTTGAGGACAGAATTTTTTTAAATTATTCTCAACTGAGCTAAACAAACTTCCATCCCACTCTCGTCGGAAAACTACAGATAGACTGTATCTGGAAAAAATATTTCAGTCATGGATTGATGTGTATAAGATTTACGAGAAACTCTGCAAAGAGGAAAATCATAAAGTACTTTCTCTAAAACTATTCAAGAACGTCGCAAACCAGATGAAAATTTCTTGTTTCAGCCTCGCAAGAGTGTGGATAAAAGAGTGTTAACTCCTCCTCCTCAGTCCTAATCCCTTTTGGGATGTGGTGACACAAAAGTGGGCGGTGGACTTTGAGGCGCCTGGTGCTCTCGACGGGCCTCTTCTTTAGTTTTATGGAAATTCGATACAAAATCAGTGCAAACTCATTACTCAAGGTCGCTGATCACGAATATCATGACGGTGATGGTATCCGATGTCATTGGTGCCCAGGACTGGCCTCGTCTCCTAGAGTTTTGTGGAAATTTGATACAAAATCAGTGCAAACTCGTTACTTGAAGGGGTTTTTGGAGTCACTGAACACTAATATCATGTCAGCGATAATGTGTGAGGCACCTGGTGGGAGGGCGGACAACGTCTCATAGAGTTTTGTGGAAATTCGTTACAAAATTGTGTAAACTCGATACTGGATGGATCTTGGGGTCGCTGATCACGAATATCCTAACGATAATAGTCTCCAATACACAAATTTCTAGACACCAACCCTCTGCTTAGCACACGATGCATCGGATACCATTGCCAACATGATATTAGTTTTCAGGGACTCCAAAATCCCTGAGTAACGAGTTTGCACTTGGGGCAAGGTCACAAAAGAAAACGGAATATGGCGAAGAAGATACAACTTTGAAATATACAAAATATACCAGGATCCGGATATTATAACATTCATTAAAATAGGACGGCTGCGTTGGATAGGACATGTAGAAAGAATGGAAGAAGGCGAAATACCAAACAAAATATTCAAACCGATGCCAGTAGGAAAAAGAACAAGAGGAAGACCGAAGATGAGATACTTAGAACAAATAGAAAATGATATAACAACCTTAAAAATAAAAAACTGGAGGAAAAAAGCACGAAACAGATCAGAATGGCGAAGAATCCTGGAACAGGCCAAGGCCCAAAAAGGGTTGTCGAGCCAGTGATGATGATGCTGAACGAGTTTGCACTGATTTTGTATCGAATTTAAACAAAACTCCAGGAGACGAGACCGAGGTACACGAGCTGCCTCAGAGAACATTATTCATGTTCAGTAACTCCACAAACATAGTAGTAGTAATTTTGAACTCATTTCATTCAATTATCTATCATTTTTCATGCACATGCACTTCGAAATGCACTTTGGAAAATGAATTATCTGTGTTCAATAATGCATTTTCATTTCCACATCATCATTTTGATTGACAAAATTTCCTGGCTCTCATACGAATCGAATTCAAAATGGTTCACCGGGATCCATCCTACTGCAAAAATTTGGTAGATTTATTGCTTCATGATGAAGGTCTGTATTTTAATAATTCAAAATGTAATCCTCCTTAAAATGGTTTAGGGCAATTTTTAACGCCTTTTCCAATTTTTAAATTGAAATAAAAGAAATATTTTTAAATAAACAAATAGTACTTACAGCTGTTAATGGTAAAGACATCAAAATACTTTCATATCTTGCCCCAGGTGTGTAAAGACCAAACTTAGTACCTCTGTCATATATAAGATTAAATTCGACATATCTTCCTCTTCTCAGCAACTGCCATTCCCTTTCTACATTGGTATATTTTGTCTGTTTATGTCTTTGAACTAAAAAAATATAACAACGTTAATAATAAATGCATACACTCTTCTTAAAAAGCGATTTTAGAGAAATAAGTGAAATATTGAAATATGCTATCCAAATTAAAGAAAAAAACAAAAAAGTTGAACAGTAAGTGATACTGTTCAACTTTTATAGATTCTTATATCTTATAGGTACTTATAGGCGGAGCTTCATACTATGTTTTCTGTATTTTTAAAATTTAAATAATATACTTAAAATTAAATTAAGTAATTTTATTATTAATTTTTTCGTTAATTATGATGTTTGCTCCTGACGCCACCTGTTAACCTATTAACAAAGCATAAGCTGTTTACTTATGACAAACCTGTCAAATTCAGACCAAATATTAATAATAAAATATAAACAAATATCATTTGATAGTAAATTGAAATATTATATAAACAAAATATGTTTAAAAATATTAACTGTATTTATATGAAATTATTTAAAAAACGAGAATTATAAAAATTTAAACAGATGATTCAATGCAATCATTAGATACCGCAGTGGTGTACCTACAGTTTGTGAAGTTTAACACCAAAAAAACCCATTATCAGTTTATCAAAATTATGGAGGTGTTCGTACAAAGTTACCGAGATCCCTGAAAAGTATTTCCTGCTGCTGGTACAATATAATAAGTTTAGTGGAGAGTAACTTAAATGATAACATAACTGACTGTGAAATTAGATGTGATGGTTTTAGTATCTACAGATATGATAGATTCCAGAGAACTAGTGCAAAGTTGAGTGCTGATGGTGTACTACTGTTTAACAACAAGCTAAAATCACAAACCATTAGTATTGGTGAAGATAGGGTTGAGCAAATAAATATCTTATGTCAACTTAATGAAGTCAAGTTTGTGGTCAGTGGTGTCCACATATCTCCTCAATCAGCTTGCGCAGTATACAACTGACATTGTCAAATTGTGGAAAATGTTGATCTGCAATACTCAGCACAGGATATCTATGTTTTTGGTAATTACAATATTCCCAATTCGCAATGGGAGAATGATGAGTTTGATGAGATGGTTCATTGTCCTGCAGGTGATCCAGCTGTGAATATTGCTCAAGCCTTGGTTTTTTATTGTATCAACATAATAATATTCCCAAAAATCGTAACGTATTTTTGGATGTAGATTGTAGTCGAAACAATTTAGTTTATGATGAGTTGTTTTATGTTTTTCGGAATGCCGATTACATAGCGCTTAACAATTTCCGTGCTTCCATAGACTGGCAGGTATGTGCTCGCTATATTTATGTAAATAATCGTTCTGACGATGACTATATTAGATTTCTCCACCTAAGAGTTGAATGTAAACAACTGTCTCAAATTTGCTTAAGCAACTATATCAAAGGTAAAGATACTGACCTAAACCATAACTTTTGAGCCTATTAATTAATGTAGGCTTCCATGTCAGGTTTGTTGAAAGGATTAAAAACTATACATCTGGTAGAAGTTACGGAGTCAAGATAGATTGTCATCTGTCTGACAGTATCTCAGTAACATCTAGAGTTCCAAGCAAGTTCAAGCAGGACAAACTTCTCCACTTCTCTTTAATATTGTTGTTACAATATCACTTCCTGTCTGATATGTAACAAATGTCCAATATTGGAAGATGACTTGAAATTTTGTGAAGTTATAGATAGCCTAAAAGATCAAGCCTTGCTGCAAGATGACTTTGACCGACTTCAAAATTGGTGCAATCAGAACAAACTCCACTTACATTTAAAAAAAATGTTGTTTTTCTTGTAAAGAAAAAGTTTTTCTCATAAAGTCAATGGAATTGAAACAAACTACACTATTATTAATCAGCCTTTGAATTATGTTTCATCTATTCAGAATTTGGGTGATATTTTCAATGAAAAGCTGACTTTCTGTGACCACATAACACTATTTCAATAAAGACATCTAAACTTATCAGTTTCTCTACTAGGAATTGCAAGTATTTCTCCAATGATTCAACAAGATTAGTGTATTGTTGCTTAGTTAGAACTATTTTGGAATACTGTTTAGTTACTTGGTCACCCTATTTTTAGAACAATATTGGTACCACTGGAAGAGTCCAGAATAAATTTTTGAGATATTGTGCCTAGCATGTTCACACTACTATTGAAAATCATGATTATTCCACTATCAAACAACAATTCTCTTTATCCTCACTCAATGAACCGTCGTGATATGCCATGAGCTATATTTAAGTATAACATCATCAAACCTGTTAAGTCTGATTAACTTTAATATTCCCCCGTAAGCTGTATGTTCCTACAATGTTTTCAATATTCATTTCCACAGAACAACATATGGTATTCACAACCCATTTAATAGATACATGGGGCTATTAAATTTTCTCGATTTTAATATTTTCAATATATCTTTAACTCAGTTAAAAAGATCTCTTACTTTGTGATATTGGTATTATTGAATTTTGTTCTTGTTATATTTTGTTTGTTGTTTTTAGTATGTAACATTTTTATTTTTAGTCACATTTTTTTAAACTTTTTGATATCGATTTTATATTACAAGTTATAAGTAATTTTAAGTTTTGAATCCCAACTGTGATATTGTACATATTGTAATTTAAACTGTTAACAGGATTATCCTGTGTATTAAATAAATAAATATATAAAATGTTATTATTATTCAGACGATTTATGACTTTAATTAAATTTTAACAATCATTATAAATCGAATCTTATAGTGGCAGATATTCTTTCAAATCTTTACTTCTAATTTAACGTCTCTATTCTGTTAGTTATTTTCATGCAGTTTTTAATTTAAACCTGCTTAGAGTGAATATATGATAACTAGAATTAAATTTAACAGAATTTAACTTAGTTTATTTAACAGAAAAATAATTTATAAACAGTTTCTAATCTCAGCTCAAAGTTGTTCATGAAAGTTTTTGTGCTAAACCTGAACTGACCTTGTCTATGAAATATAGCCTATTACTTCATTTTCTGAAGTTAACTAGACCAATTGTATAAAATATGCTTCAAAAATAACTACATTGATAATTTCATGGTAGTCTTTTGTTGATCTCAACTGACACTGTGAGAAACCACCTTCAACTTACCCTTTATCAAACATACAATATTATTGTATGATACCAGAGCTGCAACTACTTCTAAATAGCTTTATTTATACATATACACCAATATATTAGGTGTTACGCCTTTCTGGTAGAGATTTACGGAGGAGTATTACCAAGCCGCAAGCCCTTATCTCCTGCTATACTACTCCACCACCAGACACCAATGTATTCTAGTCTAAGTCATTTCATTTAGAAATTTAAACTATTATGTCAGCCTTTTTTTCCTCTACACCAGGACACAGTATAAACTAACTTGGACCAGATTGTTTGCCAGCTTATGTTCTCAAGCATTGCATTTTCACTCTTGTAAAACCTATCTGCTACTTATTTAATTCCTCATTGAGTACCGGCATCTTTCCTGATCTTTGGAAGACTAGTTATTTAACACCAATTTTCAAGTCTGGTAATAAAAATGATGTTGAGAATTATCGAGCGGTTTGTAGCCAATCTGTATTACCCAAACTTTTTGAGTGCCTTGTAAGTAACTTTTTGACATGGAATTGTAAAAATTTAATTGATGTTAGACAACATGGCTTTTCTAAGGGTAAGTCTACATGCACGAACTTAATATTGTATACGAATTTTATAGCTAATTCAGTGGAACACAAGGGTCAGGTTGACGCTATCTACACAGACTTCTCAAAAGCCTTCGATAGAGTTAACCATGATCTGCTTATTGCTAAATTAAATGGCTATGGATTTGGAGGTAAAATAATTGAGTGGATAGGTAGTTATATATCTGGTAGATGTCAGTATGTTAAATATGGAAATTGTTTATCTCAACGAGTATCTGTAACCTCAGGAGTTCCTCAGGGGTCGCATATTGGGCCTCTCTTATTTAATATATTTGTTAATGATATATCCTCAGTGATTAAAAATAGTAAATTTCTAATGTTTGCTGATGACCTTAAAAGATTTCGAGTAGTTAATGACCTAGTTGATGCCTCTTTATTACAGAATGACATTAAAAGCTTAGCTAGTTGGTGTGAGGTAAACATGCTATACTTAAATATACAAAAATGTTTTAAAATTACTGTTGGAAGATCAAGAGAGTCTGTAAATTATGATTATTATATAAATAATGTACCTTTAGAGGCACGTCATAATATTAAAGATTTAGGTATAAATTTTGATTCTAAACTTACTTTTAAAAATCACATTAACGAAATTTCAGCTAAAGCTTTAAAAATGTTAGGATTTATTCTTAGAAACTGTAATCAGTTTTCAGTACAAACTTTAAAAATGTTATACTTTAGTTTAGTTCGATCAGTTTTGGAGTATGGTTCTCTCATTTGGTCTCCTTCATATAACAGTGACATCTACAGTATCGAGAGAGTTCAAAATAAATTCTTGAGGGTATGTGCTTACAAAATTGGTTTTCTTAGACAGCAATACACATATGATGATATACTGTCAATACTAAATATCTCATCACTACATGATAGACGAAGTCAAGCGGATTTATGTTTCCTTTTTAAAATTATAAATGGATATGTTCAAGATCCAGAGTTACTAAGTTTAATAAGTTTTAATGTTAATATTAGAAGAACTCGTAACACTGAGATTTTCAACATTCCATTCCACAGTACGAATTATGGCCAAAATGAACCCATTACAAGAATTTTACGAACTGCTAATGAGCACAGCAATAATTTAGAGTTATTTGGAATATCTACAGCAGCATTTAAGAATCATTTGAGCGATTTTGAGCATTATTTAATACCTTAAGCTACCATTTTAATTGAATTTTGTTTGATTTTAATTTTGGTTTGTTTTTTATTAACGCAACCTATGTATACCTAAGCTTTGTAAAGGTTGACGTCATATTTATGTAAAAATGGTATATCCGTTAATTAAATAAATAAATAAATAAACTTAACTATAACTGTTCGCTTTACTTTAGTTTTATGTACTTTGAACAACTTATTTGTATTTCTTTTGCTATATGTAAAAATGTGGATATCTGGTGTCATTTTATCTTACTATCATCCAAAGCTATCTATGTTTTATTTAGTATTGACATTTTTAACATATTACCACAAGAAAAAATCAACACACTGAAAAAGACTGAGTAATGTCTCTCAGGCATAGTAGTAGAAACTAAATAAATATATTAAATCATAAAAAATCAATGGGTATACAAAAAATATAGTATATTAATAAATAATTAGTAATTTGTCCCACAAACACTATTTTAGATCAATTAAAATTAGTAAAAGTACATGGGTGGTCACTTTGTATCAATCTTAAGTTTTAAACATAACTATCTTATCTGATTATTACCTGTTGATATTTAAGGTTAAATAATCAAGGATTAACTATAAGATAATTTTAAAAACTACTTGTAAAATCAACAATTTGTTCATGACACACCTGATTATAAAACTGATATGAAATCGAAGCTATTTTATCAGTATTGCCTCATAATAATTAATTAATTACCTCATCAATAATTAGAAAATACTTTACCTAAAGGAATGTATGAAGGTATCACAGCATTGGCACAGCTTTTCACAAACTGAAAGCATTTTTCTTGATTAGGAGTATCCAAATCATCAAAGAAGATACCACCAATTCCCCTCCTTTCTCCTCTATGTGGTATGTTAAAGTAGTCATCGCACCATTTCTTGTATTTTGGATAGTAGGTTTGGTCATGTTTATCACAGGCATCTTTTAACGTCTGATGAAAATGAACAGCATCTGCTGAATTCAAATAGTATGGAGTTAAGTCAGTGCCGCCTCCAAACCACCATTGAGTTTCATCGCCACTTTTAACCTCAAAATATCTGAAAATATCTTCCATTTAGATCAAAACATTTACTTAATATTTGAATTTTCACATATATTTTGGGAAATCTAAGTTCCCAAAATATATGGTATTATGTTTATGATAGCAAATTATAAAATAAATCATATGGATTGGAACCATTGAAGATGTCCCTGATATATTAATTAATTTTTCATTTGCATGTATGAGGATGAGAATATTGCACAAAAAACGAAGCCTATTCAAAAAAATATGTAGTTTTTTAAGAAAAAGCTTATTTACAAACTATTTTGCTAAAAACTTTTATCTTGTGTCATTTAGAAATAATGACTTAATACATAAGTACTTATTAAAAATAGTACAACATAAATAGTACAAGAAATTTCAGATAATAAATGCATTAATGTCTCCTTTACCTAAGAATACATCTAACAATGAACTATAAATACAAAATTGTACTGATGGACTGCCTTGTAAATGTACAAACTTCAAATAGTGAATTTATTTGTATACCAACCTATAATTAAAATGTATTGTTGGTACCATAGGATTAACTGGGTGTATAACAGCACTTATGCCAGCGGCAAAGAATGGTAAAGGTCCACTATTGTCAAGTTTTTTACCTCTGGAGCGCATTTGAGCCACAGCACCTGCAGGTAAATTTCCCGAAACTACAGAAATGTTAACTCCAGCTTTCTCGAAAACTTTTCCATCTTGTAGTACACAAGTCACACCACCACCTCCCTCTTGTCGTTCCCATCTGTCGACAATAAACTTGTTGCAGTCTTCTTCAGTCTCGAGAGCTTTACAAAACTCTTTTTGCACCTTCATAATCATAAGTTCCATTCTAGTCTTCATATCATTTGGATTAGAAGATAGTTTCTGTAAAGGCGTTATTGGTAAAGCCATAAATTCACTTGTATCAACTGACTTAGATTTGTTAGACAAAAATGCTGCTGAGCCCGTGAATACTGTTCCATATTTCCTGAAAATAAAAGAATATTAATTTGATTTTAGCGCTACACATAACCTCAAACATACAACAATTTGGATAACTTATGTTCTCTTTGATAGAAAACTACTGTAAAGTTTTTAACAAATACTTTGAAAAACATTTTAACCCTATCTAATTAAGTCTTTTAAAAAAATGTGATTCGCTCAAATCTCTCATTTAACTGAGTTGGACAAATCAGCTAAATCAGCTGTTAACTTACCTACCCAAGTCTAGTGTTTTGTTTTTAACCTGTAAAGCAGGACCGTATTTAGGAGAGAATTTACAAAAAATCAATAACAATAATATTTATTTTATAAACAAAATATTTAATTATAATTTCAATACTTAAATAAAGTCAAGTCATCTAAAATATAAATTTAGCTTTATATCTACAAGGACTGTAGAATTAACCACAGACTTGGATTTCTTTACTTTTAAAACCAAGACTAAAATTTGCTCGATTTACTTCAATCGTATAATAAAATAAATAACAAAATAGTATGTACTAACAATTTTATGCAAAAAAGCTATTAATCGGCAAGAGCTTTCGTTCATACTATTTCCATACGTACTGCTTTACCCATTATCCTTCGTAAGGATGTGGTATTCGACGTGACGTATGGTTGATATTAATTATTCTCTCTCTAGCGCGTTGTGTGTTACCTCAGAGAGAGAGAGAGAGAGAGAGAGAGAGAGAGAGAGAGAGAGAGAGAGAGAGAGGGAGAGAAAGAAATATATAGAAAGAGAGGGGTAGAATAAGAGAAAGAGAGGATGCTAGTAACTGGTGGTGCTTTTTATTTGGTCTGACCATCTAAGTGGTCGTCTTTTTCTCACATAAGCAGTTTATAATATTGGTTGATATTTGGAGAAATGTGCGCCTAATAAAAATTGGAGCAAAATTGTTTTATTAAACTGAAAGACATTATAAACGATAAAAAATATTACAAATAGGTATTTTTCAGAATAAAAAAGATATGTGCATAATTCACACACAAATTGTTTTTGTCGAAGATTTACATCTGTACATTTTTAAATAAAAAAATTCATTTTTTTATCGTCAATGCAAAAATAGTTCATTGCAGTAGCAAGCTGCATCGTCCGAATAATCTTCTTCAAAAGAGCATTCAAAATTGTCATTAGAACTACTTGTATGACCTTTGAGTAATAACAAAACTTTTTGGTTTAAGAAGCCTTTGTATACTTTAAAAATGTTGCAGCCACAGATAGAAAATATCGGAAGTTATCCATCCTTTTTTTTGAGCGAGGGCTACAAAGATTGAAGCATCATGAAGTGTAATGATGTCAGAAAGCACAAATCCTACGACACTGAAAGCATCCTGATTTTTATAATATTTATTTGTTCGGTGGTTCCAAAATTATGCTTATGATATGTGTAGTTCCAAAAATTTGATCACAACACTTTAAAATCAATTAAGACTTAATATTTTAAACTGTTCTATTATTGATAATTTTTAAATTTCAGTTGACAAAAATTGACTACCTAGTCCACCCGAGACAAAACATTTCAACTTATGCAATTCGTGATGTTACATCACACTAACGACAAAAATTTGACTGGATCCTATTTTATTTTACAGCTCCTCCTACAGATCCTCCTACAGCTGGAGGCAGCTGATTCTTCAGTGTATTTACCTTTGTCTTTGCCCAAAGCAGCCAAACGTCCTCTGGCTCCCCTGTCAATGATCTTTCTGTCCTTGTCCATTTTAAGCTTAACAATAACAACTTTTGAAGGGTGGCTTTTAACATATACACTAGCTCCATTGGCCTTTTCCCTCTGAATCCTTTCAATGTAGATAGAGAATCTCTTTTTATATACTTGAACAACTTTACCTACTTGTTGGCCTTTGTAGTGCCCCCTTACTACTTGTACTTCGTCGTCCTTGCGGATTCGTCTTCTTCTTTAGGTACCGTCTAATCTAAGGAGGTAGGCTATCATCACAGCTATTTTCACTTTTGAGATTCCAGCTCTGAACAAGTCGACGGAACTGCAATTATACCACTTTCTCAGATTGTTGAGCCAGGAGATGCGTCTTCTTCCAATACTTCGTTCTCCCTGTATGTTTCCATGCATTATGGTTTGTAGCAACACATTTATCCCCTCTCATAACGTGACCGAGATATTGTAACTTTCTTATCTTAATCGTATTCATGATTTCCATTTCCTCTGTCATATTTCTGAGGACCTCAACATTTGTTATTCGCTCTACCCAACTTATTTTTAATATTCTTCGGTAGGTCCACATCTTGAATGCTTCAAGTCGATCGCTTACCTCTTTCTTTAAGGTCCAGGACTCCACCCCATACAGCAGCACCGAAAACACATATGAACGTCATCTTCTTATTTTGAGTTGCAAACTAAGATCTCTATTGCATAATACTTTTCTCATCTAACTATTAAATGTTGCTCTAGCTTGTTCAATTCTCATTTTTATTTCTTCTGTATACTCGTTATTTTCATTAATAATTGTACCAAGATATCTATATTTTTTACTTTTTCTATTGGAACCCCTCTTATGTTCAAAATGTCTTATTGTTGTGTTTTGGAAATTGTCATAAATTTTGTTTTATTAGCATTAAGCGTTAGTCCGCTTTCCTCATTAACATTTACTACATTATCTAAGAGTGTCTGTAGATCTTGTATATTCTCTGCAATTAGTATAGTATCATTGGCATATCTGATATTGTTGATGGGTCTGCCGTTGACTTTTATTCCAATTGTTACATTTTCAAGTGATTTTTTAATTATTTCCTCCGAATATAGATTGAACAATGAGGGGGATAGTATGCAACCTTGCCTTTCGTCTCTTTTTATCTCTACTTTCTCCGAAAGTTCTTTGCCTACTCTTACTCTTGCTGTTTGGTTAAAGTAGAGATTAGTTATTATCCTTAAGTCTTTTTTGTCAATGTGTTTATCTTTAAGTAACTGTATAAGACGGTTGTGTCGGACTTATCGAACGCCTTATTGTAATCAATAAAACAAACATAGAGTGGTTGGTTTACATCCATACCCATGGCATTCCTAAATCCAAATTGGGTTTCAGTGATATCTTGTTCCCCTTTTCTGAAAATTCTTAAATCGATAATTTTTAAGAATATGTTTAGTGTGTGACTCATTAAACTAATTATACGGTGATCATTATATTACCTTGCATTAGGTTTTTTTGGTAATTTAATAAATGTCGATTTGAGCCAATCTCTCGGAATAATACCCGTATTATATAAGTCTACTAATACATTGATCTGATCTTCTGATATTAATTTAATTATTTCACTTGGAATTGTGTCCGGTCCCGCAATTTTATTAGATTTTGCTATATTTATTACATGCATTATTTCAACCTTAGTTATATTTGGACCTATACCTATACCTGACCTATCCTGATCTCCTTGTGTGTGGCTTTGTATTCGTTTACATTTTTGTTCTTGTATGATCTTCTTCTTTGTTAGTGCTAACATTTTACTTTTGATTAAGTTCTGGAGACAATGGAGCGGACATCATATCATATCAAAAATATCTGGATTATATTTCATATTTTGGTATGTTTGTTTTGTGCAATCAACGAAAGGTTGACATATAAACTACAATTAACATATGGTGCAATACGGAGCATACAAACAGTGATTTCATTTATTCTAGCCAGCGTAGAGATAGATTCGACCTTCATTAAAAGATAGAGTATCAAATTAAAACATTGTAAATACTTAAAAAGTATTTAAAACATTATTATAATATAAGTTCTGTGGTGGTTTATCAACCCCTTTACTCCTGTATTATGATTCCCATCAGTGAGTTGGTGTTACATCTCGTGATTGTGGACCATAATACAAATCTCATCGTATAATGAACCAGTTTTGATGCAGATTTATGGTGATTTGCCGATTAAGCAAGCTGTAGATGTAGATGTATTGTTTATGTATTGATACTGCATGGGTTTATGTGAGAGTTTGTCATATTCATTCAACAAATACATAGATAATGAAAATAGCTGCAGCCCCTACGTGATATTTTCAGTTAATAAGTGGGTGTTTATTTTTTCTTCTTCTTCTTTTAGTACCCTGTCCGATTATCGAACGTTGGAGATTATATTAGCAATAATAACTTTGTTAACGGCATATCTAAATCTCTTGATACCATTCTCGAAGATTTCGGAGCCAGCATGTTCCTCTTCGGTCTGGGCCGCTCCTTTCGGCGATCTTACCCTGTATTATAAGGTGTAGAAGGTAATACCTCTCTGAATGTCTGATTAAATGACCGAAATATTGTAACTTTCCAATTTTTATCGTTTTAGTTATTTCTATGCTCTTTTTCATTGTATGTACAACTATTTCATTGCTTATTCTATCAACCCAACTTATCCCCAATACTCGTCGATAAATTTACATATCAAAGGCCTCCAATTTTTTCATTATTGTCACTGTAAGGGTCCAGCTCTCCATACCGTACCTGTTTCCACCTGTTGTAACACACCTATAAGTTTTTCATAGTTTACTTGGTCAAAGGCCTTTTTAAAGTCAATAAAACACATATATAAACTATGTCGATAAACCATGACCTACAAACTAAAGAGTGCTTCTCTGGTGCCAAAGTTGTTTCTGAAACCAAATTGTGTTTCACTTATGAGTGCTTCTCTGGTGTTTATTTGGTTATACCTCAATAACATCTGTAATATTGTACCTCATATCCATAGGACGTTCCTTATTAGCCATATGAAGGACAATATAAGAGATGAGAACTTTTCTTTCCGTATGTGCTACGTTTAGAGCTTTCTCTGTAAAGTCTTAGATTGGCAGTAAGTCTTAGGTCCGCCATAGACCGGCAATTATAAATTGCCATAACAATTGTAATAACACAAGAACAACTGTGTCTTCAGACCTCCTTACGGACGCGACCTCCAGGGCCGGGTGACACTTTTGGGAGAGGACCTTTTTCTCAGGAACTCAGTTCTCTACTTCTTCTTCTTCAGATGCAAATCCACTAATGGATGTTAGCGATCACATTTTCCATTAACTCTCTATTTCTTGCAATATGTATCAGAGATTGTATGTCGTTAATCCCTGTCCATTGCCTTATGTTTCGGAGCCAGGACATTTTCTTGCGTCCCATTCCTCTCTTGCCTTCAATTTTACCCTCGATTATAAGTTGGAGGAACTGGTATTTTTCATTTCGCATGATGTG